GACTATGTGACTACTACTAGGTTTCAAAAAGGAAGCCCTGGGCTTATGTGGAAATATTATAAGTTGAGTTTTGGAAGCGTTGGGAGAAATCTTCCATTTTTGTAAATAAGAAGAGAAAATATCCAAACTTTTCTGAAGTCTGCTGCAAATAACACGAAGACTTCTTCCTTTAGCGGAAATGCCTGTGTCATCAGCGAACAAAGATTGGTGGCAACCCTGAGGCAAATCAGGGAGGTCCGAAGTGAAAATGTTATACAATATAGGCCCAAGAATGCTACCCTGAGGAACTCCTGCTTTAACAGGTAGTCGATTAGATTTCGAATTTTGATAATTTACCTGCAGAGTTCTGTCAGTTAAATAATTTTGAACTAATTTCATAATGTAAAGTGGAAAATTAAACTTTTTCAATTTAGCAATCAAACCTTCATGCCAAACACTGTCGAATGCTTTTTCTATGTCTAGAAGAGCAACTCCAGTTGAGTGGCCTTCAGATTTGTTTGAACGAATTAAATTGGTAACTCTTAAGAGTTGATGAGTAGTTGAATGCCCATGGCGAAATCCAAACTGCTCATCTGCAAAAATTGAGTTCGTATTGATGTGAAGCATCATTCTATTCAAAATTATTTTTTCAAAAAGTTTACTTATTGAAGAAAGCAAACTTATTGGACGGTAGCTAGAAGCTTCAGCTGGATTTTTATCCGGCTTCAAAATTGGAACAACTTTTGCATTTTTCCATTTATCAGGAAAGTATGCCAAATGGAAACATCTGTTAAATAATTTTACCAAGAAAGACAAGGTACTCTCTGGGAGTTTTTTGATGAGGATATAGAAAATTCCATCATCACCTGGAGCTTTCATATTTTGAAAATTTTTAGTTATAGACCTTACTTCGTCCAAATCAGTCCCCCAGGAATCATCAAAAATATTTTCCCGAGAGAAAATATTCAGAAAATCCCCAGCAACCTGATTCTCAATAGGACTAGTAAGACCCAAACTGAAATTATGGGAACTCTCGAATTGCTTAGCAAGTTTCTGAGCTTTTTCCAAATTTGTGATCAAAATTTTACCACCTTCTTTAAGCGCTGGAATTGGCTTTTGAGGTTTTTTCAAAATTTTTGTGAGTTTCCAAAAGGGTTTGGAACTCGGGTCTAATTTAGAAACATTATTTTCAAAAGTTTTGTTCCTCAGGGCAGAGAATCGCTTTTTAATTTGTTTTTGCAAATCCCGCCAGATAACTTTCATGGCAGGATCGCGTGTTCTTTGATATTGTCTCCTACGGACATTTTTAAGACGGATCAAGAGCTGAAGATCATCGTCTATTATAATTGAATCGAATTTAACCTCGCATTTTGGTACTGAGGCAGCTCTTGCTTCAACTATAGAAGTAGTCAGAGATTCAAGAGCATAATTAATTTCATCTTTGGTTTGCAAAGGAATGTTTGGATCGAAGTTATATTCCATAAATGTTCGATATTGCTCCCAATCAGCCCTATGGTAATTGAAAGTAAAGCTGTTGGGATTAGAAATTATTTCTTGGGATATTTCAAAAGTTACTGGAAGGTGATCAGAACCGAAGTCAGCATGGGTAACCAATTGGCTACAAAGATGACATGAATCAGTTAAGACCAAATCAATAGTTGAGGGATTTCTTGCAGAAGAAAAGCATGTTGGGCTGTTTGGATATTGAATAGTGTAATAACCTGCAGAACAATCATCAAACAGAATATTACCATTGGAATTGCTTTGAGCATTATTCCATGAGCGGTGTTTTGCATTAAAATCACCAATAATGAAGAATTTAGACCTATGACGGGTAAGTTTCTGAAGGTCACCCTTGAGAAAATTCTTTTGCTGGCCTACGCATTGGAATGGCAAATAGGCAGCTATAAACGTAAGTTGTCCAAATTTTGTTTCAACAGAAACTCCCAAAGTTTCAAAAACTTTGGTTTCAAATGAAGAAAGTATTTTGTGTTTGATTCGTCTATGAATAATGATGGCAACGCCACCACAGGGTCCATCAAGACGATCATTTCTATAAATCAAGTAATTTGCGTCCTTCTTAACCTTATGGTCAGGTTTAAGGAACGTTTCAGTTATAACGGCAATATGCACGTTATGAACTCTCAAAAAATTAAATAGCTCGTCTTCATTATCTTTAAGAGATCGAGCATTCCAATTTAAAATGTTTAATGCTTTAAAATCCATTACTGAATTTTAAAGTCATGACAATATTATTAGCAAATTTTACTCCAGTTTGAATAGCATCAAACATGGAGTTAGATTTAAGCATATCAGAAATCATGTCAATTAATGAATTCTGTAAAAATTCCATTTTAGGAGCAGTAATGCTTCCTAAGTCAAAATTGTCAAAATTTCCGTTAGAACGTTGGTTAGTATTTTGATTTCTACCCGCTGCAATAGCAGCATAGGTAGCTCCATTAACTCGCTGAACATTGTTAGCAGCGAGGGGAGTAGGTACAGATGAAACATTTGAAGCAGGGGTGATATTTGTACCTACGGGTACGAATGTAGAATTTGTTCCTCGCTGACCGTTGTTAACAGCAGAGGAATTTGTACCTGGTCGGAAACGTGGAGCGTTTCCTACCTGTCGGTTAGAACGAGATTGTAGGATCGCTTTGCGAGTCTTACATTCCCAAAAATTGGATTTGTGGTTTTCACCACAATTTGAACATTTAAATTTCTTAGGATCTTCCTTCACAGGACAGTCGTCCTTTGCGTGAGAGGAATCACCACAATTCATGCATTTAGCTGGCATGTAGCAATTTTTAGTTCCGTGACCCCATCCCTGGCACTTACGGCACTGAGTGAGGTTTTGGAAATTTCCTCCAGTCTTCCTGAAGTGTTCCCACTTCACTCGGACATGGAGCATAAGGCTAGCTTTTTCTAAGGCCTTAAGGTTGTTTAGTTCACTAGACTTGAAGTGAACTCAATAAAAATCATTAGAAATCCCGTTGCGCGAATCGCCAGGACGGGATTTCATTTTCATTTTGATTACTTGGAGTGGCACAACTCCAAGTAATTTTGCCAGTTCATCTTTGATCTGATCCAGGGATTCACCACTGGGCAGTCCTTTCATGACAACCTTGAACACACGTTCAGTTTTGGTGTCGTAAGTAAAAAATTTGTGCTTCTTCTCAGTAAGATACTTGAGAAGACATTTAAATCCGTCCAAGGTTTCAGCCAATACACGGCATTCACCCCGACGTCCAATTTGTAGTGAAAACTTAACTTTCACGAAATTCAAAAGTTCCATGCGAAGAGCATGGAAATCGGTAGTGTTTATCACAATAGGGGGAATCTTTTCCTTCTTGGCATTAAGCCGGGAAAGTTTACTAGAATTTTTCTTGGATGATGGATCATTCTCATCATCCGTGAGCAAATCAAATTGATTACTCAAATTAATTTCATCAGAAGGGGGGTCAAGTGTTTGCCCCTTTCTTTTGCGTTTAGGCGCCATGGCGGCAGTAAATTGTTATCCAAATCGACTTCCAAGCAGATTACTATAAGAATCTGAAGGATCGAAGAGGAATTTTCCAAATCGATATCCAAGAAGGATTACCTCGGGTAGGGTCCAAACAAGGATCGAAGAGGAATAAGAGAAGTTGAACAAGGTAGAAAATTTTTACAGGTTGAGCACTGAAAAGTGCTGTTTAAATTTGTTGTAGCTTTAGGTAGTAGTAACACTTCCTTAAGCAAAAAGCAAATAGATCCGCACGGCAAGAGAGCACGATGCGGACTGATGCCACCGCTGAAGTTAAAACAGCTTCTACGCCGTCGCAGCCGATGAACTGACCGGCGCACAGGTCTAATGTATATAATGTGATCCAATAGGTTTTATGTCGTAGCTTATGGATTAACGTATCGGAACAAACGTTCTATTGATCTGTGTATGGTGAAATCATTGATATTATTGGAGTTGGGAGGAAATGCTATACTCAGGACTGGCAAATGTCATTTTCAATGAAAGATCTCACGCGATATTTACAGAGATACTTCTGTCACTATCATCGAATTGGAAAACGATGATAGAGATTTTCTTCCAAATCTCATCAAATTTTTTGTCATGACAGAACGTGACAGTTTTGTGATCATCGTAATTACAAGCTAATTTATTGCTTTTAATGTTACTTGTCCCGAGGTTAGCTTAATAATATATTCACTCTACCGATTACATATGGTTACTTAAATAAATCTAAATCAGTTAGAAATGTCCATGTCAAAACTCCATAAGAATTATTCTCATGAGTGTTTGATCATTGGAAATGACAAGAAAGCTAATGATAGGTACTTTTGTCTCGTGATAGCGAGAGGACCTGTTTTCTCAATGTCACATGACGGTCGTGATATTTACCAGCTCTGGCTATACTTATTTCTTCATTCATCAAATTATTAGTTAGGTACGCATTAATGGACCTTCACTCAATTTCAACTTCTGTTAAATTTTCACTACACCGTAATATAGCGGAACTATCAGTCTATCTCCTTCAAAACTTTATCCAATTAATAAATTATCGCACTAAAGGCTTCATGTTGATATTAGTATAGCATTTGCTCGTAATTATGAAAATCGTAAACTTCACGTATTTATGAAGTAACAGAACACTTTGAATAAATTGATATTATTGATGTTTTATGCTCGATAGTACGGAAATAGGTGTTTACAACAAAGTAACGCTCTATCCTCACATTCATCTATGAACAATTGTAAAGCAGGAGATTTTTATCGACAGGTTCAATCTTTACCCAAGCAGCACACTTCGATCGAAATAAGCTGCTGCAACTTGATTTTGACTGGAATAAGTGGCACACAAGTAACCAAATTTTTTTAGTGACATGTGTGCGGCTAGGGTAGAGTCAATTATGCGGTGTATATATGAAGTGTTGACGTTCTAAAAAAAAAGCAATATTGTTTTAACTGTCTACGTGAAATTTAGACAGTTCCTAAAAAATCTACACCAATAATCATTGAAATGGCTTACCAAAACATCCAAAGTGAACTAGTCGGACCTGAAAATAATAAAAATACAACAATACAGTTTCTTTTAAAAATATACGGATCGAAATCAATTAATGTTAGTTACTGCAAATATTTTTGAAATTCAGTTTTGATCACCAGAATGAAGCAGTTAATATGTAAATAAACTCTTCTTTTACAGCTGAAATTGGCAAACTGAATTATCCACTAATATAAGCGAAGGATTAAATAATTATTTTTTATCAAAAATGTCGAAAAACATGAACTTAAAAATAAATATTTCAGCTCTTAGAGACGATGCCATCAGGATATGTTAAACAAGATCTGAGCCCTGATAGATATTTTTAGTGTAAATCGTATATACATCGGTTGTAGTTATCTTTACTATCATTGGAAGACGAGCAGTTACGCATGTTGTGAGACACCCTCAAACAAGTGTACATCGAGTTTTCTCGTAAGATTCCCTGGACCAATAACCAGCACCGTACTCAGCAGGTAGCTAGGCTGAGATTTTTCACCAAACATTTTATGATGGGTTGAAAAGTTGCCAAAAATAAATGTTTGAGTCGTTTGCGCAAAAAATACAAATTTTTGTATAAATAAAAAGTTCATAAAATTTAGCCAAAAGTTACGATTAACGTAAATATTTAAATGTCAAAGGTTTCCAATATTCCAAAATTTTGAATTTTTCACAAGCTTTTTATTTAAATAAAACATATTGATCAAGAGCATTTTACAATATTGTAATTTTTATGAATTTTATACTTTGACTATATGTTTAGTATTACTTCTGCGTTAAGTCAACGATTTTTTCGTTGGTACTTGAGCGGTCGGTGATCATCTCTTTTTGCCAGTGGTGGCAGGGGGGGGGGCACCCCTCACCATCCCTCTCCAAAGGGGGAGTTTGGTAAAGAGAGATGATAAAACCGATTTGTACCTTCCTTAAAAGTTGTCCTAGCTCGCTATCTACTTTCTATATGCAATGTTCACACTGCCGTAATCTAAACGGAACTATCAATTCTATACTTTCATCTCCTCCTCATCGTATAAAAATTACCACTTCAGTCTGTTATTCGAAATAGCATCTTCAACTATCAATTTTATTTTATTTTTTTTTTAAATACAGTACAAAATTTACCGCATACACTTTTCTTAAAAAGACTATTTTCATTAAAAAAGTTCATCCAATACTCGACTATTAGTACAAGGCACTGAAGAAGTCTGCACATTGTAGATGTAATACGCGTATCTGTCAAGGATTTAGCAATCATGCTAGATGAATTAAATGGAAATTACTAATCCTTCTCTTTTAATTTACACATGTATTCCACTAAGACGCCCACATTTATCAGGCTAAATCGCCACTGCCACTGCCACTATAGTTGCCACTGCCTTGTAAAGGATTAAACATGAACCCAAAGCAATACATTGCCAGTTGGTACGCCACTATGGAGATGTTGAAGTTTAATCGCTTAATACACTGGGTAAATCTCGGATATTTTTTATCTAACTGTATTAATTCAAACAGAAACCCGATAGAGAGAATCGATTATCACAGTTAGACCCTTAGGATTCTAAACGCTAGGCATGTGCGTAACGCTGGACACTTTTTTTTAGCTACAAATGTGAGTTATATACAATTTATTGAGAAGATAAAATGCTGATTATATCATAGGAGCCATAAGTCGGCATTATTATTTTTTTAACACTTTTTGAGACCTCTTAAATTTGGGGGTCCAGGATTGCCCCGAACTTTTTTTGCAAAGTAGTGATCCAGTGAAATGCATTCCAAAGTGTTTTCAGCATAATTTTTGACAGAACTGTAAGTAGGCTGGCCCGATGGTGCAAGAGTTTCATTGAAGTTGTTGCTGCACGGGCATCGTTCATTTGGAGAGTACGATCTTGTTTATTTATATTTACATCTACGCTGGGAATGCTTGTGAATATTTTAGAGTGGACGAAAAGGGGAACAAAGAGGTGAACGCCTAAGCTTGTTTCTTAAGGAAATTTATATCTGTAACTGGTACCAGCTCGTTTTTGTTCGCTATCTGGTTAAGACACTTTATTATCTTAAAGATAAATTGTCCAGCTCAATTCTTTGTTGGGGTAAGAAGTGGGACCATCATCATCATAACTAATAACATGTTGTTGTTGATTGAACAGATCCTTCACCATCAAGTAGGTCGGATATTTACGATAATCGAATCGCTGCTGAACCTGGTTTCTGCTTGCTTGTTCTTCTTCTCATTTTTTTAAAATCTCTGGGGTCATATCATCGATTGCCATTACTTTTTCGTGGAGCACCTCAATCGCGTCCGTTGTGGCACCTCCGGCTACCACACCTACATACGAACAAGTTTCCATACTTCTATCACTTCGATATTCGTCCTGGTCGCACTTTTCTTCATGCTACTTCCGTCCTACGTCCAGTTGTCCCTTCTCTGGCTGCTTTCGAGCCTTGCATGTGGAGCAGGAATTCATCCGATGCCTCTCCATCTTGCAAACAAAACACACGTTCTTGTTCTCTTGAAATAATACATTCCCCGCACTTATTCTTTCTTAATCTAGCGTAGTTTAGCACCAAACGGAATGTTATTATTACTGATGGCTTCCAAATTTATTTACTTTTCCGTACGTGCTGTAAGATTTAATAAAGAGAAACAAATTGTTGAGATATTGTTCAAAGTCATTGCTTCTTGATGCCATTTGTATTTGAGAATATTGGGTTCAAACAGGGTTACTTCCACTCACTTGCTATAAAAAAATGTTTTTCGGAATTATGAAATCATGAAATAGTATAATGCTAATTAGTACTTGTAAGTTACAAGAACAGGTCATGAAGTATATGTTTGACACATAAAATCTGTCAATATTGCTTTCAGTGCGTCACAATCAGCGATTTTACGACTCGTGAGCGCTCACTCTGAGTGAACGCTCACGAATCATAAGATCGCTTATTGTGACGCTCTGAAAGCGAAATTGACAGGGTTTATGAGTCAAACACATACCTTAAACCCTCTTCTTATTACTTATTAGTACAACATATCATTTTAACATCTAATGATTGCATAACTCCAAAAAATATTGTTTTATAGCAAGTGAGTAGAAGCAACCCTGGGTTCAAACATTCATATCACGCGTTATTATTGACTTCGTTTGGTAGCATTTGACCTAAAGTATCGTACCAAACGCATAATCTACCTGTTAACGCCGAAATCATGGATTTATTTGACGTTTTCTGCTTGATAGGCCCAAAATGGGCGCTTAGGCCGAAGTAGTTCTCTACCCTATAAAGTTTCCATCTGGACAGGATCCACGTTCAGTGTCTTCGCGAGATTCACAATTTCACCCATCGACGGTCTTCCAGCACCACTTCCAAAGTTAAGTTTGACGGTGTTTTTCATTTCAACGCCAACACTCATCGTCAATCGTTGCTGCAAAAGCAACTTCACACGACCAGGTAGGGGAGAACAGCCTATGGGCATAATGCATCCCTAGGATAAAATGCTCACTTATAGAAAAACATCGATAACTTTTCCTCAGAGACTGTTTCCAGGTAACGGATTGTGAAGGTTTCAGGAGGTGGGTTAGCCAGTAGCGGAGGAACTTAGACAATTTATTTATTAAACATTTTGTAGTAGGCGAAAATCACCAACTCCCAGCTACACGTATTTTTTAAGTGTCCGTTGAGTTCATTTCAGAGAAGGTAGAATTTTTGCTAAGCTTTCAAATAAACATAGCCCAAGTAACCAAAAGTTCCGCATCCAACGATTAAAATCATTTTCAAGTTCCTTAAAGTTCAAATAAAATTCCGACAGAACTTTCAAGTTCCTCAAAGTTCGAGCAAAGTCCCGACAGAACTTTCAAGTTCCATAAAGTTCAAATAAAGCTCTGACAGAACTTTGAAGCCACATGAAGCAATCCGCACAAGTCTTTATTAGTTACAAAATTTAATGTACGTAAATATGAAAAGATTAGTGGCGCGAATAAATCATAATTTATATATTTATGCACTGCATCAACATTCTATCCAAACATAAAAATATATACTGCAATTTCCTGAATTCTAACCCGTGTATTCGGCATACGATCTACGATTGCAAACCACTGTGCCACAATTGTGTAGGAATACCATGCGGGCAAACACCAATTTAAAATTCATCAAGGTGTTGTGTTTCGTATTCAAGTCAGTCAGCTTTCACTGAAAACTCCAACAGTAGACTAATATATCTCAGATGACGTAGCGGTTCGTGCTGGGGCTCTCACGCAGAAGGACTGGGTTTAATTCTTCAAAAAGCTCCAATACTACTTTTTTTTTTCCTCTGTTCGGGACCTAACACTACTGCGACCAGTAAATTGATCTATTGTAGTATATCCCGTGTCATTAGTTTAGTGCATGTCGTATTACTCCATCACTATTGAGAAATGATGAGGTATTCGATTTTTTTACAGTTGCCACTCTTGCATTTATCGCAAGGATCCGGCTCTAATTGAAAGGTCCCGCTTTTTTACCCTTCGGAGTATACCCTTTGCCAGTCAAAATTGGATTCCTTAGCAACAAAAACTAAGGTATGACACCGATAATGACCATGCATCAGAACCCTAGTCTTAACCACGTCAAACAAGGGAACAACGAATAGAAGATTAGGAATCACATAGATGAAGACAACGAACTCATTTTTTTCCTTGTTTCAAGATCATCCTCGGTAGACAAAGCCGAGTCTTGTCACTATCAACAAGACATAAAAAGTAACAAGGACTAAGATGTGTTTCTTGGATTACTGAAAAATCCTGTTCCCCTAGTTTGAAGTAGTCAGGACTAGGAATCGGTGGTAGATTTTACATCCCGTAACGTACCACGAAAAGGTGATCTACCCACGTTACGGGGATAATACTACTACTAATGCTGATAAATCAAAACACATTAATACCCGCCTTTAGAAATAACTTTCTTAAAAGTGCGAACTAAATATAGAATTGGTGTAAAGGACAAAAACCTTTTTTTAATTTATTTTCTTAAAGTTCCGTTCAA